TTTTGACAGAAAGTTTTTACTTCTCAATCGAACAGTTTTTCCTAAATAAATTTCTGTTATATATAGTTTTTATATAGGTAATCACCTTATAACAATAATAAGAAATTGATGACTTTATTTTATTTTATTTATTGTTTCTAAAACAATTGAAAATTATTTTATACAACAATCAGCTAGCTAGTATGCATAAAAAAAAGAAAAAAAGGATAAAATAATGAAATAAACATTAAAAACATAGTCACTGCTCGCTAATAATACACTTTTTTTTTTAGATTCTGAGCAGAGCGAGGAATGTATTGGTTTTAAAATGATGTTTATTTCTTTTTCTTTTTCTCTTTTATTATGTTAATAACACTTTTTCTCCCTCTAAACTTKCTCGAAAGTATCAAGTGTAACATATTTTTTGAAAGGTAATGTTCTTGAGCTGGTACTTTAAAGAGGTCATTTTTTGATTTTCGAAACGGTACTCGAAATAAAAGCGGTTAAAGGAGAAAAAGTACGATTTCATGATTTTATAATATTAAATAATTACGGACGACGTTTACTACCAGAAATATTGCTTTAAATGAAAAATGAATGACAAGAGATATTTTTTGTTGTATTTTGGATTTTGTTCCTAACGGTTTAAAGTTTGGAAAATTTTAACCATTTTTGAGTTTTTTTTTGTGTCTGTCATCACGTTTTGGAGCAGTAAAAGAGCTGTAAATTCCTTAATTGGGATACAAAAACTAAAAATTAAGGAAAAAACGGGAATTTTCAAATTTTTTTATARGCATTCAAAGTTCAAATTTTTACTAAATACGTGAAAATTACGCCAATTTTCAAATTATCTTAGATAGTGAGTCATAAAATTTTTCTTTTTAAATCTAAGATTTGAAAATTTAATTCAAGATTCCTTATAAGTTTGTCTACCTTTATCAAAAAATAGAAAAAAAATTTGGTAAAAAATAAAAATGTCCACCGTAAAGTCAAATATTTTAATAAGTATTAATCATAAGTAATAATAATCTATAATACGAGTATATCCTAGACAGATAAACTGTCTCCGCTCAAAATCGTTTTTCGTATACAATTATATAATACCATTGGATTCAAATTTAATTCCATCCATTACAGTAACCCACTTGTAACCTATTATACAGCAGAGCAATATCCACTTTTATGCTTTTTTTTAAATTAGTGTAATTATGATGGGGTCTATTTGTAAAATTACTGTTTATGAATGAGTCGTATTATTATTATTATTTATGCAGATATTTAATTGTATTTAATGAAATAATTTATAAAGTAAAATAATTTAAATTATAATAATTTAAAATTGGTCTTAAAATATTGAAAGGGAGAAACTTTAAAATGGATTTG